TGTGTGTATATATATATATATATATATATATATATATGGGTCAAAGACGAAAAAGTGTTTAAGCATAAGAACAATAAGTGTAACACTGCTTTAAATTGTTATTGTTTTTCCCCCAAAAAATTTAAAAGTTTTCTGTTTAATTTAATTGCAATTTTGTTTTCCTGAGCAAAAAATAAATATAATACATATTTCCCTTATTTACAGAAGAGACCCACTAAAATGTCATTCTGTGTAACAATCTTGTCAGGCATATTTACAACTAAAATCAATTTATGACATATTAAAAGACTAATTACTTTCACCCCAAATACTAATTAGTTGTAATTTTACATTTTTTAAATTTGCCACTATCCTAGGTTTTGCCCATTTGTCAGTAAGAATGTTTCACTCATTTAAAACAATAAAATTTAATATGCTCCCTTATTCTTTTATGTATTTTAATATGTACACATCAGAATAAGCATGTTGTTTGAATTTTTACATAAATATTGTGTTACACTGAATGACAATGTGACAACGTATGTAACCCTCGTTCCCTGAAGGAGGGAACGGAGACGTCATTTCAAGCAAATTTTGACATTTTATCCTCCAAAAACTTATTTGAAACCTTAAAAGTAGACACTTTACTTACATTTAATGTGCATTCCATGGACATAAAATCACTTTTGTAAATTTCTTTTGATGCGGACATCTTAACGTCTTTGAGCCATATATATATATAGTTTTTTTTCACTGACCCTAAACCTTGAAACGGTAGAGTATTTATATTCATTAACATTCATTCATTACAATCAATAATTTATCAATTAATACATGTAATGTCATTAATCAAATGACAAATATTATTAGCAATTTGTCAAAAGAGTCAACAATATTACTAGTACATAATGTCAAGTTTACGGCATAAACTAGATTATATCAACACTCGGGCACCTGTGTGTTTGTAGTGCTCTGTGGCTGCGGTGTTGGGGGGCTGCTCTTCTTCTTCAGGGGCTCCTGTTGCCCCTCTAAGGTGCTTGGGGTGGCGTTGATCGACGTGGAGGTGACAGTCGGGTGGGGGGTCACAGGAGGGCTTGTGTACATGGACAGGGGAAGTGGTGCGTAAGGGTTGGGGGGGAGGTTTGCGTAGGGGCTGGGAGGGATGGCAGGGTACGGACTGGGCGGCAGGGTGCTGTAGGGAGTGGGTGGAGGGCTGGTTGGGGGGCTGGTGAGGGGAGACATTGGTGGACTGGACACTGGGCTGGTCACCATAGCCATCGCCTGCATGGTCATCTGCTGAGCCTGAAGAAGTCAAGAGAGTCGACAGACACAGGGTGAAGTAAAACACTTGAAAAACAGTTTTAATGTTTTGTTTTAGTCTTAGCTTTTGTCTTTTGGTGAAATAGTGTTTTTTATTTTGTAAATATTTTGTCATGTTGTATTATGTCTGTAGCTGTATCTGACTGAAATGGCATATAAATTTACTTGAAAAACAAAAATGGATGCATTAAAATGCCAAAATGAACTCACAAATCTGTAACCAAATATTAAACAAAGTTAAATTAATAATAAATAATAATAAAAATATTTTATTTAATAATAAAATAAAAATTAACTAAATAAAATAAAAATGAAACTAAAAATAAACTGATATACCACTTAAATACTGTACTGTTATAGTTTTTGTTAATATTTTAAATTAAATTGTATTTTTATATTTTCTGTTCTCACTTGAATTTTAGTTAAAGTTTTAGTAATATTTTTGTGTGTTTTTGTTAGATTTGTTATTTTTTAAACATATCTATGTAGTTGTTTTTCTTAGTATTAGTTTATTTAGTTTTAGTTACTTCAAACCTTGGCAACTAGCTCAAATAATATAAGTTTTATTTTTATTTTATTTTATATCAGTTAACGTTTATTTCAAGTAACAAAAAATGTTTTTTTTTTTTTAATGGTTTTAGTTTTAATTAACAATAATAACCCTGAACCAAATTAAAGACTAAACTAAAACAAATAAATCATTGTTTACCCTAAAATGAAAATTATTTCAGAATTTACCCTCCATTCTTAAATAAAAAAAAATACTTCAGAATTAATTTAAAGTTGGAATAAAATGAATTCATATGGTTTGAAACAACATGAGGGTGAGTAATTTCTTTCTTGGAATAATTATTGTTTAATACAGACATTATTACCATAATGACAGCTTGTTGGTTGATGATGGTTTGTTGCTGTTGAGCCAGGACAGCTTGCTGCGGGTCTGGCGGGCAGAATTAAAAGACAAAATAATGAATATTTGTCCATCAATTAATTTTAAGCTCTGTAAAGCTGAAGGCATTTTAATTAGAAATACCTGGCACTGGGGGCACAGCTGGCATACTGGGCATTACTGGAGCACCTGGTATGGATGGCAGAACTCTCACTGTTACAGAATGCACAGAGCAGAAAAATATCACACACACACACGGCCATCACATCATTAAAGTATGTCTGTGGGCGTTCAAAATTCAAGTCCAGCTCAAAAGATCAGCATACAGTAGCAGGTCCTCAGGTTGGGATGCTGGTGTCCCTACCAGGCTTCTTAACTTTACTTGCTGTTTGACCAGATTCATTAGTCAAATTTATTTGTATAATGCTTTTCACAATACACATCGTTTCAAAGCGGCTTTACAGAAAAATAATTATGGTAAAGGAATAATTAACCCCAAAATAAATAAAAATTGCTGAAAATGTTCTCACCTTCAGGCAATCCAAGATATAGGTGAGTTTGTTTCTGCATTGGAAATTTAGCATCACATTACTTGCTCATCAATGGATCCTCTGCAGTGAATGGGTGCCATCAGAATGAGAGTCCAAACAGCTGATAAAAACATCACAATAATCCAAATGTAATCAAATTTCAGTCCATCGATTAATGTTCTGTGAAGAGAAAAGCTGCGTGTTTCTATCATTAAGATGTTTTTAATTTCAAACTGTTGCTTCTGGCTAAAATAGGAGTCCTCTATCCATAATACTGCTTTCTCTAGTGAAAAAGTTGTCTTGTCTGAATCAGGAGAGAAATATGCACAGATCAAGCATCCAAAACAGTTCTGAACAAATATATTGGTGGATTTTGATGTGAGAGGACAACAAGGGATGGACTTTTCATTCAGCATTATTATGTCATCAGAAGCGACTGTTAAAAGTTAAAATGCTGTATGCCCATATCCTCATTTGTTTCTTACAAGCACATAGCTGTTTACTTCAGAAGACATTAATTGATGGACTGGAGTCGTGTGGATTATTGCGATGTTTTTATCAGCTGTTTGGACTCTCATTCTGATGGCACCCATTCACTGCAGAGGATCCATTAGTGAGCAAGTGATGTATTGATAAAATTGATAAAGCAATCAAACAGTTGAGATTTGATATATACTGTAGTATATACTGCCCTAAGCAAGTATACTTATATGTGGATAACGATTGGAATACTTATATATCCAAATTTATGCAAAGAGGTATGTGATAATATAATTACATAATACGACAAAAAAAAAAAAATCAGGCAGTTCAGATTTGCTATATAGTACAGTACAGGATTGCAAATAATTGTCCATTGAAAAAATGGCATTTTAATTCCTAGAGAACACTTCAGTAAAGATGATAAATAAACAAGTCATAAGTACCTCAGTTCCCTCTCATAATCTCCATTAATTTGTCTGTCTCAGCAGTATTTGAAGGAAAAAAAGTCACGCATATTGACTCTGTGTGTATGTATGCTGATAAAGTTGGATACGTTTTGTTTGTAGTCCAGCACCAAACGCATAAACCAGCCTGGACAAGCAAAGAAATTCCTGCTGGTTTAAGCGGAACTTTTCAGCAGAGAGCATTAAATGAGTGTGTTTACCTCCAGGCCGAAGAGCGGCTGAGACATTGACCCTAGCAGGAGACTGTGCTTCATCGCCACCTACACCTCCTCTACCCTTCATCCTTCCAGACAAAACTGATGCATCAAGATCCTACATAAAAAAGAGTAAGTTAGTTAGTTATTAAAGCCGCATGTCTCTCATTTAAAAAAAAAATACAGCATTATTTGCTTACTTATTTCCTAGTGCTCTGTGTAAAACGATCATAGGAAGCCCAGCCAAACACACACACAAACCCACAATCAACATTCACATAAATGAAACTGTGAGAATTAAGTCTGTAAAGTCAGTAAGTCAGACAGAACTGGGTCAAACAGGCTGTCCAAATACCGGTCCATCCCTCTCTAAATGGTATCATAGGGTGGTTCTGAGTCTGATAAAAGACAGAAAGAGAAATTATTTTTTAAAGAAATGAATGCTTCTATACAGCAAAGATATTAAACTGATCAAAAGTCACAGTAAATACATTTATAATGTTACAAAAGATTTCTATTCCAGGTAAGGGCGGTACTTTTGATCTTCCTATTCATCAAAGAATCCTGAAAAAAACTGCATCATGATTTTTCACAAAAATATTAAACAGCTGTTTTCAACATTGATAAGAAATATTTTTTGAGCAGCAAATTATTAGAATATTTAGAATGATTTGTGCAGGATCATGTGACAGTGAAGATGAGAGTAAAGGCTGCTGAAAATTCAGCTTTGTATCACAGGAATAAATTAAATTTTAACAGTTTAAATAGTAATAATATTTCCCAATATTACTGTTTTTACTCTTTTTTTTAACTGAATAAATGTAGCCTTGGTGAGCATAAGAGACTTTCAAACTTTCAAAAACTAACCCCAATTTTTTTAACGGTAGTGTATTAAAGGAATAATTTCATGAAGAATAAAATCATTCAAAATATAAGAGCTCATTACATTGTGAAAATATACTCTAACTTTACTAAAACCTCTACCCTATTAAAAAAAAAACCTGCACAATTTTTTTGATGCCAGACTGACGAATGACCAACAAATTCTAAGGGTCAGAGAAAATGGTAATTAAAAAAATTTCATTTGTTAGTTAAAGGGGTCATATGATGTTGCTAAAAAGAACATTTTGTGTATTTGGTGTAATGCAATGTGTTTATGCGGTTTAAGATTCCAAAAAACACATTATTTTCCACATACTGTACATTATTGTTTGTCCTCTATGCCCCGCCTTTCTGAAACACGTCGATTTTTACAAAGCTCATCGGTCTGAAAAGCGAGGTGTGCTCTGATTGGCCAGCTATCCAGTGCGTTGTGATTGGCCGAATACCTCAAGCGTGTGATGGAAATGTTACGCCCCTTACTGTGATGCGGTGTCCCGGCGCGCGGCC